GGGGTATTATTGTTATGAGCCTGCCTCAGGTAAATGTTTTGTGTTGATGGATGCCACCTTTTTTGAGGATATACCCTATTATCATAGGGTTTCTCCTTAGGGGGAGAGCAATAAAGAAGGGATTTCGGTTTCAGCCCCAAGAGTCCCGTTACCTGTTCCAGTTACTGAGGGAGAGTGTTGTGAAGAGGGTTGTCAAAAGTGCAGGGAGTTGAGAGTATATCATACACAGAGGTAGAGGTAGGTTGATTCCCGTCCCCAACAGCAATCCAGGCTGATCCCAACATCTTCAACAGCCCCAGATCTAGATACTACCATTGCTCCCACTATTGAGACAACAATTGTAGATACTTTGCCTGACACTATAGATACTTTGGCTGACACTGTTGATCCTCAGCCTCCTCCTTTAGATCTTGATCTTCCAATTGCAATTCTTAAAGGGAAGCGTCGTTGTACCTCATCCACTGCCCATTGCATCTCCAAGTTCCTTTCCTATGATTGTCTCTCAGAATCCTATAGATTTTATCTGGCATCTATTGATACTATTCCTATACCCAAAACAGTGCAAGAAGCCCTATTGATACCTGAGTGGAACGAAGCAATGAAAACAGAAATGGATGCTCTTGTTAAGAACAATACATGGGAACTAGTTAACCAGCTTGAGGGGAAGAAACCTGTTGGATGCAAATGGGTATTTACTGTGAAATATAATGTTAATGGCTCTGTAGAAAGGTATAAGGCCAAATTGGTTGCAAAGGGATTCACACAAACTTATGGCATAGACTATATGGAAACCTTTGCACCAGTTGCAAAGATGAACACTATCAAAGTCCTACTATCCATTGGTGCAAACTTCTCATGGCCATTATTTCAGATGGATATTAAGAATGCTTTTCTCAACGGAGACTTGCAAGAAGTGTACATGGAGTTACCTCCTGGTTTTTACAATACAGAAGCTGGAAGGAAAGTTTTCCTACTGAAAAAGGTTTTATATAGGCTGAAACAATCTCCAAGAGCTTGGTTTGACAAGTTTAGACAAGCTTTAGACAAATTTGGTTACACACAGGCTCAGTCAGATCACACTCTCTTCTTTAAGAGAACAAACTCTGCCCTGACCTTACTTGCTATCTATGTAGATGACATTGTGATAACAGGGAGTGATACTGGTGAGATTGACTTACTTAAACAACACCTTCAAAAGGAATTTGAAGTGAAGGACTTAGGGGAATTGTGTTATTTCCTAGAAATTGAGGTAGCTCAATCTAAGCATGGCATTTTTATCTCAGAGAAAATATGTTCTTGACTTATTGGAGGAAACTGGAAAGTTAGGAGTAAAGCCTGCCAATACACCCATTGAGCTGAATCATAAAATAAGTGCAGAAAATGGAGAACCTCTTGAGGACAAAGCTATGTATCAAATGCTAGTTGGGCCTAACTTGGCCAGATATTTCTTATGTTGTCAGTGTTGTTAGTCAGTACATGCATTCTCCTAGGACCACTCACCTCCTTGCAATGGAAAGGATACTTGCTTACTTGAAAAGATGCCCAGGGAGAGGCATACTCTTCAAAAATAGTGGTCACATGAAAATAGAAGTATATACAGATGCGGATTGGGCTGGATGTGTTGATGATAGGAGGTCTACCTCTAGATACTGTGCATTAGGGTGTGGGGGGGGGAACCTTGTTTCCTGGAGAAGCAAGAAACAAAATGTTGTTGCGCCAATGGTGTTGTAGAAGTATTATGGTTAAAATCCTCGCTTAATGAGCTGAAAATTGATTATGAGAAGCCTCTAATGCTGCATTGCGATAATCAAGCTACAATTTATATTGCCCACAACCCAATACAGTATGACAAGACTAAGCATATCGAGGTGAATAGACATTTTATCCGAGAGCCAGTTGCATCTCAAGAAGTGTGCCTTCCTTACATTGCCTCAAACATGCAGTTAGCTGATCTCTTAACTAAAGCAGTCACAAAAATCAAATTGGAGACAGATTTATGCAAGTTGGGCATGACAAATATCTACTCCCAACTTGAGGGGGAGTGTAGAGATAGTTAATAGCTCTGAATACCTGTGTGTGGTTCCATACCCACACTTATTTGTGTGTACCCACACTTATTTATCTTTATTCTCTTTTAGTTGGGTTGGCTGGCCTTTTGTCCTAGTTTATGTTTATCTTTTTTGTTTGAGTTTTATTTTAGTTAGGATTAGAGTGACTCCTACTCTTGTAAGGAGAATATTCTATATAATAGAACTAATGGAGCAGCAGATTTATCAATCGAACCCCTTTCTTCTCTCTTCTCTTCTCTTCTCTTCTTCTCTTTGAGGCCTAGTTATTTTTTTCTTTTCTTTTCTTTCCTGAATTACAGTAGAACAGAGATCTACTTCCTTTTATTCAAGTTGGTATCAGAGCTATTAGCGAGAAAGACTAGGGTTTTCATGTAAGCCTGATCTGGTCAGCTACATGAGAATTCATTAGATCAAGACTTCTGCAGTATTTAATTCAGTCCAAATCCCATGTACCATCACTATTCCATATCAGGACCTGTTGTAAGTCCTTCTTTATAGAATAAATCTTCAAGGGTGTTGATCGATTCCTATCACCCAACAATCTCTCATCCATCAGATTCAATCATCAAATCTCCAATGTCACAAAACAAAGTAAGAGAGCAAAGAAGGGAAAGAAAAGGGGAAAGATAATAAAATATAACAAATGTGGGATAATTCCATTTCTAGGTCAGTACAGTGTAAAATTACAAAAATTTATTTCTAGCTATGGTGAAGTAAGAATAGAAGGGTCATTACCCAACATTGGTCCTGACCATCCAAGATCTTGAGAGGGGTGGACTGGATACATACCTAACCTTTGGTATTTTTTGCATAATGTAGGATGGAGTACAAGAATAATTCTCTGAAATGTAAAAATCTTACATGCAGTTAAATATAAATTTATAGTCAGGTTTAACTGTTTAAGTGTAAATGTGCATGTCTTTTTTGCAATAAAAAAGAAAAAAAAATCAACTTGTCTGCAAAAGCAAGTTTTTTGCATAAAACCTATTAACACTCAGTACAATGCATGGCACCCTTATACGGACCATCCCCTCACCCAATGGAGGTCGGATTTCCTGCCCACAAGAACACTACCCACACTTCCCCACATGACATCACAACCACACATAGAGAACATCTACTACACTTCTATGTTATTATGCATGGGGAGATCTTCCAAATGCATGGCTGTAGTAATTTGTGGGTAGGGATGGGTAGAGTTTTTGTGGGTAGGAGATCCGAAGTGCAACCAATGGGCCACGTTTGTTTAAGTAGTTGTAAGACAAGTTTTGTACCAACAGAATAACCTAACCATGAAATCATGGAATTCATTAGTACTGTGAATGTAAGAGCTGCCAACACTGTTCAAGTGTCCAATCGGATACCATGGATATGATGGTTGAACAATTCAGCTCTTTAGCAACAACTCCTACTTAGGGGTTGTTTGGTAACAAGTGAAGTTGCTGAACTGAAGGACTTATTGCCTTGTTTCTTAGTGGATAAAATAATTAAATAATAAAATATTCAAGAGTATAGTAACCAATCAAACTACAGCTTGAGCCATTAAGGAGCCCCCAGCCTCCTAGAAATCATATTCACTAAAAGATGAAGCAATAAGCTTTTCAGTTCAGCCACTTCATCTGTTATCAAACGGCCCTTAATTACAGGCTTCTGGTTCATAATTTGGCACACAAAATTTCTGCTAAAGTTCATTCTCATCTTTTATCCACTTAAACCAATTTAACAGGAAGGTCTGATGACCCTTGCTGTAAAAATAACTGATCTTATTCATAGGTTTTGGTTAGTAGCATGATATTCAGCATGGACCCTGTGTTGGAGAATGCTGAACCTTTCTACTCAAGAAAGACAAGAAGTCTGGAAGGACATCAATTTCTGGATGTAATACTAATATATAGATGCCTGATATGGAATCAAGAAATTAATTTACAAGAACAATGAAAGGACAGGCTACGGTCATGAGTAGAATAAATTGCAGGTTCTAGCTGCCCTGGATTTTCTGTGCCTTTGAATGATTAGCATATTTTGTTAGGGTTATGAGTCTTCAATCTTGTTATCAATTTATCGTTATATTTACACAATGAATTATAAAATAGCATTCATTATCTGAGTTATGACTAATCTTCTAGATGAATGAGAGGCTGATTTTCCAATGATGAAGGGCAATGTAATTATTGGTTGCCATGAGGCCATTGGCTATACAGCAATCTAAGAGATTTGTATTTTTTGACAAGCGAATCCAGAAATTGGTTTCTTGATGTCAACAAGAAATGTTCAATAGAGTAGGTAACCCTCCAAGGTTTCTTGGGTTACATTGCACCCCATTTATAAAGAAAAAATAGGCTAATTTTTTAAGGTTCATGGTAATATTGGGAAAAGGGGCCATTACTTGATGTAATGGTAAAATCTCAAGCTGACAGGTGTGAGAACATAGGAATCTGAGAGCAGCCATTTTCTGTTAAAAAAAATGCCAAATGTTAGATCTGTATCCAGTCCACCCCTCCCAAAATCCCAGATATCCGGGAGCAAGACTAGGTAATGGCCCCTTTTATAGTAACATTGGGAAAAGAACAACATAGAAAAGGCACATTCTCTAATTAGAACCTACTTAAACCAAAATGTTATAATCTCCAAGGCATGGAATCCAACAAAACCATATGTTATTGCCTCCTTGAAATGATACACTTTTAATGTAACTCTTTCAGCTCTGTATGCTTTGCAGACTAAATTAAACCAAGATAGAAGCATAGTGGATATATGAATAAAAAGGGAAATGGTAGTGATATTAAGTGAAACAGGTTTAAAAGAGATTAATTGAAGTTGGAGGATAAATTTTAAAATATTTTTCAAGAATTTGGTTACAAAATCCAACGGCAACAACAGTGCAGAATTACAATGCAATGGTAATGCGTTAAGCACAACAAAAAACAATACCCGAGAAGAACTCGAATAGCTCAAAAGTTTTCTGGGCTGTCATCTAGTTGTTTCTCATCTTCTATATCTACTTCCAAAATTTCCTGAACAGTAAAAAGAGAAACACGTCATTCCCACCAATCATGATAGTGCCTTTTCCTTTGCTTATGAAAAAATTATCCAAATGCAAAAGCTTGGGTCTGGGGCCATATCCATAGCTAGCAACTTTTCAAATATTTAGATAATTAGAGGATGGGGATCACCTATTCAATGGGTTGCACCATCGGAATTGACTGTTCCAAAATTCAGCTTAGAACATTCAATAATCGGGTGATCATTTTGAATTTTTTGGTTCAGATTTCTATTAGGTGATTGGACCCATCCTGCTGGGTTCTGGTCTTCAAAAGAAATAAAAAGCATTTCAAGGGCAAAGAGAGAGGATTATCTTACAGGAATCCTCTGCTTCAGGTAATTACCAAGCCTGTCCAAAACAGTGGAACGTTTATGCCAAAACCGCCCTTTGAGACTGATCTTAACAAATGGACCGTCCAATTCAGCTAGCTCGGCTTGTCCTAAAACATTTCTGTACCCAGGTTCAGATATCATGGAAACTACATTGTATCATCCATAAATAAATAAACTAAGTAATCAAGCAAGTCAACTTTGAGGAATTCAACCTGTTATTCCAACTGAAGCATCAAAAATCTGTGCAAACTGCAACAAAACCGCAGAACCAATTACATATAATTTAACTATTAAGCTCATAAGTCGTAATTGACTAAGCAAATGGGTTTTCAATACTTCTTTGGTTTTCTTTTCTGTTTTTTAAGAAGCAAAATGCAAGAGAAGAACAAAATGAAAGTTCGATTGAGGATCGTTGCCTCGGAACGCGCGTCAATTAGGACTTGTCTGACGTTATCCTCTGTGAGGTCCAGAGTGGGAAGAGAAGCAAAAATCGTGGGGAGGTACGATATACTGCGAACAGGAGTGTTGAATCTTCGACTCCTCCGCAAGAGAAACAGCGGCTTATTAGAGCGAAAACTCAAAGTGGACTGAAGAGAGGGAGATAATAAGAGGGATGGTCTCGATATCAGATAGTAACGAGAACAGGGAAGCTTCAGTAAATCCATTTGTTTTCTTTCTTCCTCGTTCTAGTTTTCTCCTCTTTTATTTTTCCTGAATTTTCCCATCTCAGCTCATTTATTCTCTATGATCTATATTTTGTGGTCTGTCTGTTTTTCAATTTTTCTTTATTTCGAAGAAAACAATAATTTTAGAAGAGCGGACAGGAACCCTGTGAAATTCCTTGCTAACTTTCCCTCCACCAAGCCTACAAATATATATACTACTAAATAATTTCAGATAATATCAATAATTTTAATATTCTTATTATAATCATTTAAAAGATAAGTAATAAAAGCATGGTGTGCCTGCGTATTTCTTATTTTCATTATTAATGTAAATATTTTTTATTTATTTTTATTTAATATGATAAATATATGATATTGGTGATGTGCACAGAATTCATAATTAAATTTTTTGTGTTTTCTATGTCTTTTATTTCTATCTATTTGTTGAGTTTTTATTATATAATTATGACATCATGTGTTGTTTTATTTACCTTGAAAAGAAAAGGCAATCTCAATTTTGACAACTTTAAATTTTTTATTCCATTTATATAATTAATACTAAAAGTAATTCTTGTTTATCACACTTATTTTTATTTGATAGGATAAGTTTATAATATCTTAGATATATCAAAACTTTCTACAAATTTTATGTATTTCTTTTTTAATTTTTGGTGTTTCTATCTATTTTTAAATTTTTATTATTTAATTATAACATAATTAGTTAACTCACTTACCCCAACCATTGGACCGTTATGGTGCAAGTCAAGCCTAATCTGTTCAACTTGGGCTCAACCCCCAACCTATATTTAAATTTGATGCATTTGGGTTAGTCTTGGACTTGGGTCTATCACTTAGCCCTATGACAAAATTTAACATAAAATGTATGTATATAACTATATATACATGCATATATGCAAATATGTGCTAATATATGTATTTATGATTATATGTATATAATCAGGCTTGACTTTAGCCACCTAAGGAATGGTCTTGGGCACAATTTGAAAAACAATAAAAGCCCAAACTTTTGAACCTAGGCCTAGGCCCAAGCTGATGACTAAAAATTGAATCTAGCTTATCTAAAATTATGAGCTAGGTCAATTCAAGCTCAAGTTACCAACCTAATTTGCYTCCCTATGGATAATCATCCATTAATCAGATGCTAAAACAATTTTCTTTTTAAGTTAGTTTAGTTTTTAATTATATTTCTATCATAGACAAAAATAACTCTTATCTATCACTCTACCTGTTCGTTTCCTCTTAACTCTTCCCTCTTAAGAAGAATCTTGCAATTATAAGAGGAAAATGGTTGTTTGTTTCCTCTTATATCTTATCTCTTAAAGTGGAATCTTATATATTTTTTGTTTTCCAATGATACGCCCAAATCACAAAACACTTCTCCCTCCTTACAACTGAAGGGCCTCATATGCAATAATAAAAATAATTATTAATTATTAATTATTAATTGTAATAATAATAACTATAATTAATACTTAATTAATAATCATTAGTAATTCATAATTATTAATTTCCAATTTCTAATTAATTATTATAATAATTTGTATTAATAGTAAATTAACTATTAATTAAATATTAATTATAATTATACTAGTAATTATTATTTATTATTAATGAATAAGAATTATTATAATTTATTATTAACAACTAATAATGAATATTTAATTCATAATTCATAATTCATAATTAATAATTATTATAATAATTAGTACTAATTATAAATTAATAATTATGAATATTAATTATTAATTATTATAAACATTATAACAACTTTTAATGTTATTTCTTTATTGAATTACAAAAAAATAATATTTAATTAATAAAAATTATTATTAATTAATTATTATAATAATTAGTATTAGTAATAAATTAATTATTAATTTGAAATCATTTTTACACTTAATTATTAATAATTAATAACTAATATGTAAGTAATAATAATTATTAATTATTAATTAACTATTATAACTATTATTATTAGTTAACAATTAAATATTAATTAATTATTAACTATTATATAAATTAATAATTAATATTTTTTATTAATTAATTATTAATCATTATAATAATTTTTAATATTATTTTTTATTGAATTACATAGACAAACAAAATATCTCATATATGGGGTTAAAATGGATAGTTGACAATTTTTAGAATTCAGAATTCAAAACAACATTCTTTGCATTTAGAGTTCAGAGGAAAGAAAAGTTCACTGATACCAATATACCTCTTAATGTAATTATTGCACTTTAAGATGTTAGATGTTAGAGCAAATGAGTAAGTCCTATTTTTGTTTAATATGATGAATACATAATATTGAAGATGCACCCAAATGTTTTTATTTTTACAAAATTTCTATGTTTTTAATTATTTTTGTGTCCCTATTTTTTTAAAATTTTTATTATTTATCTATGACATCATTAGTTGATCCATTTGACCTAAAAGGTTGATTCATTGTCTCACCACTTGAATAGGAAAATGGTCCATTTTTCGGTTAGTTTTAAATCTTGTATTTCATTTTCATCGAAAAAAAATACTTTTATTTAGCATGCTTAATGTTGTTCGATATGATAAATAGATAATATTAGAGATGTGCCTAAACGTTTTCACAATTTTTGTTATAATTTTTGTAATATTTATATTTATATTTATTTTAAAATTTTTATTATTTAACTATGAGAACATTGGTTGACCCATTTGATGCTGATGGTTGGACTATTTACTTGCCACTCAAACAAAATGGTGGTTTGTTTAATTATTTTTCATGTTGTTTTGAACATAGGTTTTACATTATTAAAAACATTAGATACAGATTTGCTTTGTAGAATTTATTAGTGAGAAACAAAAATGCTTCCAATAAAGTATCTAAGGAAAGAGGATACAAGTTAATACCTTAATGAGTGAAAATTTAATGGAGTGGAAAGAAATAATACTTTAAATTACATTTTTTACTTACATAGTTAAAGAGGGATTAAATTCATAAATAAGAGTGTTTTAGTCAAGAAAAATCTATAAAGCTCATTTATTTAATATGCCTTAAATATGAGATTTAATGAAATGAAATAGGACTTAATACCTTAAATATAGGACTTAATGATGAGAAATATAATGAATTTAATAAAAGTATTAGTTAAAATTATGTTTTTGCCCTCATAAATATAGGGAGATCAAGTTCAAAGAGTAAGGGTATTTTAGTAAAAAAATTCCAGAATCTAGACCTCATTCACACTTTTAATAGTATGTATGTATGTATATTGTATTTTCATATTTTTTAAATACATGTATATATTATATATGGTGAATATAAACTATTATTTTTTCATTTTAACAATTTATTAAAATTTTCAAAAATGAAATTGGATCGTATCTGATTCAGATTCAGATTCGAATTGTTGCTTATGAAATGATTCGATCGAATCTCAGAATTGTTATTGGATCGGATTCGGATATACCTGATTTGAATCCGATCTAATCCATTTGCATCCCTACCCTCCACATTGTCTCCCTTATTTCTGTGGAACCCAACGTTACTAAGCCCACCATATCACAATCAGTGGCCCACCGGTAAGAGCCCACCTATTTCTATTACTTAGCATTGAAGACTATTTTTACTGCTTAAGTATGTGGTTGCAATTTTTTTCAAAATTCCCTTTATACCCCTCTCTACTAGTATAAATAGGGGTCCCCTCCTCCGTTCATTTCATCCCAATTCATTTTCATTGTATACACTGTATATAGTGTGTTGAGAGGAGTATGGTGTTGGGTGTTGGGTACGAGTGAGGTTCTGATGAAGTTATTTTAGTGTTGTATTTTCTCTTGTTTATAGTGAAGAAGAAAGGCTTCGAGTTGCTACCTGTGAATGTAGGCAATTTGGCCGAACCACGTTAAATCTAGTGTTTTCTCTCTCCTCTTTCTTTCTTTGGATTTCTTGCTATCTACTTTTGCTTCTTTCTATGCACATACAAACTATATTATCCGTTGCACCATTTCCAACAATCAGTATCAGAGATTCATGGTTTTGTTCCAAAGTTTCACCAAAATCTATATTTGCTATTCTGGTATTGCACGTGTTGAATATGGCAAGTTCGAGCTCTACCTAGTTCAATATATCAAAATTCAATGGATCCAACTATGCAATATGGAAGCTAAAAATGCATGTTGTGTTGGTGAAAGAAGATTGTGCAACTGGCTTAGAAGGAAAAGAGAACAAGCCTGCTGATATGAAGGACGAAGATTTTGAGAAGAAAAACCAGATAGCCACGACTAATACTCTTCTTGCTTTAGAAGATTTAGTTCTATTCAACGTGTCCAAGGAAACCATTGCTAAAGGTTTATGGGACAAGTTGTGGAATTTCTACGAGGGGAAATCGATGTCCAACAGAATCTTTGTCTGGTGACAACTCTACAACCTAAGGATGAAAAACAAAGCATTTTTGCAAGAACACTTGAATGAGTTCAACACTCTAGTAAGGAAATTAGCAATTGTTGAGGTATGTATTGACGATGAAGAAAATGTTGCTCTTTTGCTTTGCCTCATGTCTGATTCTTAGGAAAGTTATACCACTTGATCGGAGATACCATGGTCAATAACACCATTGTTGCAAATGCTATGACCGATTCAATCATGATTTGGCATAGACATTTGGGTTATATGAGCAAGCAAGGACAAAGGTACTTCTTGATTGAAAACTACTTCTTGGTTTAAAATCTACTGATTTGAATTTATGTGAAGATTATCTATTTGGTAAACACCATTGAGCTAGTTTTCCCAAGTCAAAAGCTAGAAGTAGAGAGATATTAGATCTAATACACTTTGATACTTGGAAACTATTATGGAATCCCTTGGAGGCTCTTTATACTTTGTCTCCTTTATTGATGATTTTTCTAGGAAAGTATGGGTGTATATGTTCCAAAGGAAGAGTGATACTTTTTTCTATTTTAAGAAGTTCAAAACTATAGTTGAAAAACAGAAGGGGAAAAGAATTAAGTGTCTGAGAACCGATAATGGGAATGGATATACCTCAAATGAATTTGAAGATTTTTGTAGTAAGT